TTAGAATGTATTATAGAAATTGGATGTTGTCCCTTGATATTAAATCTGCCCTCAAACTTGGAAAACAGACAATTTAATTACAAAGAAAATTGTCTKCTTATTCTGGTTACTTTGTCATCCAGATATGCAGGCCTCTGGAGTTTCTCAGCCAGATTGTAGTTTACTTCCTCCATTTTTATCCCCAGCATATGATTTAATTTTCAAGTTTTCACTACTGCTTTCAGTGTAATTGTTTAAAAAAAAAAAAAAAAAAAAAAAAAAAAAAAAAAAAAAAAAAAGAGAGAGAGAGAGAAGGAAAAAAACTGATCCAAGAACCTAAGTAAAGTTGGGGTTCTGCAGGCAGCAGATGGAAAACAAGCAGAGACCACTAGAAACAATGTGAAAACAGGGTCACCAGGAAAGTAAATGTAGCTTCCTCTATGGAAAATATATTTTCATTGACTTCATTAACATCTTTTAGGAGAAAATACAAACTTCAGGCTGCAAAGTTCTTTTTCCTTTCTCTTGAAATTTTGCTGATACAGATTTAAGGCATTTCATAACTAGATATTTAAAATAAATGACAAACAAATGGAAAAGTAAATGGAAAATTACCAGAACCCTTCAAAGCCTCCTGTCACCATGTATCTATACAATACCCAGTATAATTGCATCCTTATCTGTGATGAGGTATAGCTTGCCTATGCATTTTTCTGTCACAAATGGCAAACAAAATAGAAATGTGACTTGTGAATATGTCCAAAACCGAAATTTAAAAAGTTGGGTCACATTTTATGGTGCAAACAAGTGTCTCAGGAATGTAGTTGGATCTCCTCTTGCAAAGCTGACTTCCAGTGTTTGATCCACCCCTGCTCCCACTGGGGCTACTGTCCACGTGGCTGAACATGACCTGTCCATTGGCAATCATTTGTCAGTGCAGTCTGACRCTTCCATTCTGGGGGTGAAACCTTCCACGGAAGAAGTTTTAACCATGGATTAACAGCAGTGAAAGAAGGTGTGTCTATGYATGAAGCCTGAATATTAAATATTATCAGAGTTCTTCAGACTGTGAACCACTTATTTTACTGGAAGTAAAGCATTTACATATAGATTTTAGCATCATGATCACTGGGCCTAGTTTTAACTCCGAGTCTAAAAAAAAAAAAAAAGCCACCAGAAGGACTTGAATATACAGGAAAAAGAGATGAACCATTAAAATAAAAAAGAGAGATTAGGCAAAAATCTACATTYATTAAGGATTCCCCAACCACTCTAAGAGGTCTGTGTATCCAGAGGAGMGCAGCAGAAGCATTAAAGATGGAAGAGCAATATAAAATAGTCAGTTCTTGTGAGCAAYGACTTCGGGATTTAAAAGTTCAGAGATCGTTGGGGGGAAATTAACTTCTATGCAGTGTTCTGTAACAAGGAAATTGAAAAAAAATTGTCTGGGCATGCTGCTTGAAAAATTACAAGACTATAACATTAAATATGAAAGCAAATAAAATCCAAAGCAATCAGAAATGCCTACCTGTTTTTTCTTCACAGCAGCAATGAGAAATTGCATTTTGTGAGCATATAACTGATTTAGAACATAATTCTGCAGACGCTTCCAAGAGTGTAGAAGCTGACTCATGCAAGTAGAAGCTTGCATGAGCTGTGTGTTCAGCAATGCAGGTAACAAATTCAGTGCATGATAATGAAGACTTCAAACCTGTTGGGCAGTAGAACAGGTTATTTTGGCATCCCTAACACTCATTCCAGTTTGGTGTGCTGCCAACAATGGAGTTACAACACCTGTCTGAAACTGCTGGTTGTGATAMCCTCATTGCTGTCACCTAAATGAGGGTAAAGTCCCTTTGTTTAAAAATAGCTGAAACAATTGAAAACCACCACCCCCAGAAGGGGGTCAGGGAAAATGGACAACATTACTGTCCAGGGTTTTCCAAGGGGCTGGTAAAGGTGGGAGAGGTGAAAATTTGTATGGCATGATGCATAAGAGAATAAAAGCAGGATAAATGCCAAAAAAACACTGCAAGAGAACAGAAAAGCCATTTCACAGGGCTGTCCCTGGAATTTTTCTGCTACTTTCCTTTTCCATGAGCTTCAGAAAAGAGACAGCAAAATAGTATGGTTGCTATGAAACTGCTTCCTGCTGTTTGGTTGCTCTCTATCTACAGGATGCAAGAACAGGATGGCACATAAAAAAAACCCAACCAGCCAACTTCATCACCACTGTCTTCTCCTGAAAGTGACAATTGACAATACCCTCCCTATACAGGTAGCTGTAGGAAGAGAAAATGGTAGCATGGGGAAAGGGTGAGGCTGTTTGCAAGAAAGAAAAAACCTTGAGCTGTTTTCACAAATTAGCAGGGGGGAAACTGTAGATGCTTGCAAAAATAAATCCCTTGGGGATTATCATCGAAAAAAAATTGAAGTAAGCACTGATTATTTCATTAAAGGAATTAACCAATTTCAAAAGTTTYGTGGAAAACAAAACTCATTCTATGATGATATTGACTGCTGGAAAGCAGCAGCAACCATGCAGCCATGAAGAAAAGACAAGTTGCACCCACTGGTGGAAGCAGCAAGGTGGATCAGGAGGGTGGCCTATATTATGTGGAGCAATTCCTCCAGAAAAACGAAAGTCAAAAAAGAACTTTGGTCAGCCAACTCTCTCCTGCAACTACAGCCATCCCTTTGCTTCATGAAATGGTCCCCTTTCTTCCTTTTTACTCCTTTCCACTAGAGAAGAGCTGAGAAGTGTCTGATGAGCCCCAGGTACRCACAGTTCATACACCTAAAAGACCTCCCAAAAGAGGATTTTCCCAGGGATATGATCCAACCCAGTGGAAACACATGACCTTCACTGTCTAGATCCACAGATGTTTGAGGACCTTGAGATGTTTGTTGGTCTTTGTCACTYGCACAACCAAATCTCTGGCTGGGAAGTCTCTGGAATTTTGCAGATGGTTTGTTTCTGATCATTTATTTTGCAACCACCAAGGGGTACTYGGTCCTTCGCAGTCAGCTCCTCACTTGCTACATTAGGCTGTTGTTTCACAAACTTAGACATCTGATGAGAGGAGTTGGGAATGAAAACACACCAGAAAGTCTCCTTCCCTGCTTCCCCTTTGGAAGCATTTGCAGGAGCATGCCCAGCAGACCAAGGCTGACAAGTCAGTGCAGCAATGCCCAACATGCTACTCCAGCTCAAGGTTTAGTGATGCCCAGAGCTCTACAAAGCATTAAACAAACAGTGCTCTGAAAGYCTGCCTAAGCAGACAGCAGAAAATAAGTATTATTATTTTCATTGCAATAATGGCAAATGGAGTCTGACAGATTCAATACCCTGCCCATGGTCAGCTAAGCAATGTCTTGCAAAGCTAACTTGTAAATCCAAGCCATCAAATTACCAGTCTAACACCTTCAAAACGAGGTCACTGTTCAGTTTTTTTCAAGAGTTTTTCTTGTCGCTGGTGTAGAATTGTAGAAGTTTTCTCCCATTTTTTTCAGTGTCACTCAGTCTTTTCCACTCAGATGCAGTGAGGCTACAGGCATCACTCTCCGRCGAGCTCGCAGATGTTGAGGAATACATTTGGTGCAGGTAGCTGGGTGTGCAAGTTGCCGGTAGAGCTCCGGTGATGAAAGCCCGAGACAGGAGGCTGTGAACTGCCGCCCCTTGCATAACAAAGGGCSCGGGGACCTGTGGCGCCGGCCAGGGGAGCGGACACTCAGACACAGCGGGAGCCGGTGGCCGCAAACTCCCATGCGCGTACATTTTAGGGGCATAAAAACTCCAGGGTTTCCTTTGTTCAGGGTCCCTTCTCGAATGCTCAACTCGAGCTGTTACTCTGTTGTTGGACCAAGATTAAATTATTTTAAGGATTCAGGCGCCTCAGACTCTGCCATGGGAAACCTGGTCTGCCTGCGAGTGAGTGTAGGGAGCTGRGCAGAGTCCCGGAGAGTTCACTGGAGCTTCCCGCTGGGAAGGGGCCTCAATCCCAGCTCAGACCGGCACTGCCACAGCGGCTCCCGATGGTCGGACGGGAAAGTTTCCTTAAGGCAGAGACGCGTTTCAGTGCAAACATAAAGAGATACATTAGTCCAGGCTTTCCATATGAAGAGCAACACACATTTCAACTCCCCAAAAATCAGTAAATTCAATACCAAGTCATTTTAGATAGAACACAACTATGTCAACAGTCAGGATGGAGCAACATGATTAAAAAATGTGCATTGAGTGGTCATCCAACCACAGCCCCGAGCTCTGAGCCGAAGAGGAAGGACTCTGCCTATTGGAAACTTCATTCTTCTTTTAACTGGCAACACAGTGTTTTCACATGCATGTTTTCCATCTATCTATGTAACTACATTTGTGTACTTAATGCTCCCCGTTTATAGAGGTTTAAGATCAAAAAGCTGAAAATGTAGTCAGAGCATTTCACTGTAAGCAGTTATCAAAAATAAGTAAATCAAAGATCATAGAGACACATTTGGCAAAGAGTATGAGGAAACCATTCGGAACATTGCTTGAAAGAGTCATGCTGAAGAGCAAGTTCAGACTAGTTTGGAGAGACAGTAACAAGGAAATCATGTTCACCTTGTTCTATTTTGAATCAGAGGCCAATGAGTGATTTCTCGTGTTTTGTGGGAGTGCTGTTTTCTACCCTAACTGATCCAAGCAGAATTTTCACAGCACAACTGCTTGATGCAGAGACAAAAATGCTACAGGCATATCCAGGTATCTATCGCGTAACCCACCATAATGTGAGGGCTCRTTCTGCCCTGACGGAGGTGACAGAGGTCAGACTGGAGAGGAACGGTGCTTTAAAGTGGTTTGAACTGAAAACACAAATGATAGACGGTAATAACGCTTTCTCTACATGAAGCATGAATGCAATCATCTGCCTACACTGGGCTCTCTCTCACAGGGAGGAAGAAGAGGGGACGGAGCAGGAGACACCCGACCCCTGTGGGAGGGATTTCTCACCTCCTTGAACGCTGCATGTTGCCAGTGTCATTCCTGCAAAAATTTTACTTCATGCAAATCCTAAATCTCCTTTCAGGATTTCGTTGTTATTGTTCTGGAGGCGCCTGGGGCGCTTTGTCCTGAGGCAGAGCTGGCTCGGAGGGAAGGGAAGGGAGCGGGAGCAGCCGCGTGTGGCAGAGCATCATCTCCGGTCCTGGGCGTCCCTCTAGAGGTGAAACAGCAGCGCTTAAACACGRAGACACGGCCGGGCTGGCAAGCAGGGATAGGAGTGTGAGCTCTCAGCAACTGTCCCGTATCCGAGCAGGTCTCACTCGGCTGCTACAAACTCCGGGTTGCAGYAGGCATCGACTGGCACCGACATGAGCTGCCCGGAGCTGAGCACGGGCTCTGCTGCTGCACCCGGCCCTGCCTCGCCCGCAGCTCCTTMAGCCCCGAGGCGGAAGATTTCAATGTACGAGGTAAGAATGATTATGCTTGATGGGCTATCTATTTATTTTTCCATACTTTCATACCTTTCCCCTCCAGCATTCATGTCTGAATGAAGGGAAAATTAAAAACACTTAAAGACTGTTATGTGAATAAACAAAATGGCATTATCAACGTTTATTGACTTTTTTTTAGATCATTCAACCTAAGTTTAATTACGCTCAGGAAAAATATTCAAGTATTTCCAGTGAAGAAACATATATACATGTGTGTACATCTATATATATAAATAAATATTTAAGGAATATTAGATCTTTTGCTTCTTTCTCACAGTGATTACATATTGATCACAACAAGCTCCTTGAGGGAAGAGATAGCAACAAAAGCTCTTTGTCTGATTGCTCTGCTGCCAATTGACAGCATTTCACAGTCTGGATGCCCAATTTCACACACACATACACACAAAAATACATTTGCCTTCTGCTCTGCAGTCACACACAGTCAGTGGAGCTCAAAGCCACCAGCTTGTCACTTACTGTTACCAATGAACTGTGCAGTTCAAATCAGCAAGGCACCCAAGGGAGTTGCTAAGGATTTTGCCATTTCAGGGGAACTGAGCTGGATCCTCGGTGAAGAATACAGAAAAAAATGTGTGTGTACCAGCCTAGAAGCCAGAGCTGACACAAGCTTGAGACCATGCCTTGCACCATGCCTAAGAGGCTGTGGCAATCTATCTGGGAGTGCAGMAGCTTAGTCACCAGCTGTGTTGCTCCAAACCTGAGTCCTTGCTATCAGCACTAGTTTCCTACCAGAGCCCTTCACTAGATCCCAACCAGTTTAGGCACCATGGGAGACTTTCCAGGATATGTGTTCTGGAGCCAGAGATCCATACCAGCCTTTTCAAACCAATACATTATTCATTATCTGGCAAAATCAAACATTTGTGTACATGCACCTACTAGAAAAAATTCATAAAAAGCCAGAAAATTCTCAAGCACCCTTTAGCTGAAGTGACTAACCCCAGTGGCACACGCAAGATAGCCACAAATGTAAGGGTGGTTCTGTACCTAGAATGACAAGAAATTCAAGAATCTACCCATTCACTTATATATGAAGATGATCCTGAAACTAAGACACTCCCATGCATTCKCAAAGTCAAAATTACTTTCAACTCGTGAACACTTAATCATTTCTGTTTCTTTTACAACAGCACTATGTATACAGTAACCCTGTTTCAAGTAAGGTACTTCAACATACTTTGCACACAAACAAACCTGACAGGCTTTYTCACAGCAGCCACCCAGCTAAGCTTTTGTCCACAGCACACAGAAGCCACCTGGCTTTTCTTTTACACTGGGGCAAGCAGTTTTTAATCACACTGCATTATCAAGAGTTGGCAAACGACCTGTAATCTGTCATAGCTTCCTATTCAGGAACTCCAAACTGAGTCTTGGAATTTAATTCCTAGGAAGCATACAAAAATTTGTGGGTCTACATCAAATTACTGTGAAGTAAAAGCTGCCTGATTTTGCTGCTCTCTCCTTATTCTCATTACAAAATTTCTCTSAGTGAGTTTGGCTTCTGCATGCAACACCTTAATTTACTGGAAACCATGTACATATTATTTTACTTTTGATAACAACATTCAATTCCTTCTTTTAAACATATGAATGGGGCTAATTCTAGATACACACCTCAAAAGGTTCTGCTAGTAAGTATTAAACCCTGCAGCAATGGATAAGGAGAATTAGGAAGAGGGCTTGAATTTTGTCTGTTGTTTTTAATAAATTGTTTCTTTCTTCTGTTTAAACCAGGACATTGTGTGAACACTGCCATTAAATACTGTTGGAGAATTAGAAAGCAAGTGGCAGAGCTAGATTTGGCAGCTCTGTAAACAGAAACATTTCAYTATCAGGAAAAGGACCATGACAAGTTCAGCAAATTTCAGCCCAGAGCCTTCATCATTCTCAGCCAGGGTTTCACGAGTAGAAATTATAACAGGTCTCACAGATGTCCTTCTCTGCACTCTTCCAAAACATTAATCCTCAAAGTAGCCAGGATATATATTTGGTTCATATTGCAAAAAGCTTGGAGGCAGTTGCTGTGACTGTGTTTGGGAACATGCTGAGGATGTAAGATGGAAGATGCACTGAAGCCACAAGCCACACTGAGRCAAAGAGCATCCTCAGGGTTTCTAACCAGCTGCTCTTTCTGTGTCAGTGGGACACCCTTRGTGATCTCTAAACCTTTTAAATGGCATGCCTTTAAAACCTTTAAATCTTTAAATTATTCAGTCTTCTGTTTCTAAAGGAATTTCTTTTCCTTAATTATATCATTAATRTCCCAGGTAAATAGACTCTGTGAGATAGAGAGCTACACTCAGTTTACAGCTGTTCCTACAAYTGGGAACAGGAATGGTACCAGAACTGTTTCTGCTGCATGTGGCACTGAGAGTAATAAATTATTCAGTAAAGATTGTACAGGTCTGACAATTTAAGAAAAAAAAATTCTCAGTATCAAAACTTCAATTGACTTCAGTGGAAACAGAACCAAATTGTTGTAGCAATTAATTTAAAAGTCTGGATTATGGGCAGCCCTCAATTAAACCTTGGTGATGATATGATTATGACATGTTTAAATTATGCTAATACAGCCTTTGAATGTTTTATCAATTCCACTCAGCAATCTGGCTGTTTCCCAGCTGGTTGGAAGCAGGTCAAAGTTAGGCAATGCTTCCAGGGCAGGCTCCTGCCAGATATGAGTAATTACCCTGGAATCTTACTCCTGAGAAGTCTTTCTAAATGATGTGAAAAATAGCCCAGATTAAACTGCATTTTCCAAATTGACATTTTCTCTCCATACCAGGCTCTAAGTAAGTAGTTTAGGTGKTCATAGGAAAACCTTGGCTGTAATTGTACCATTTATTCCTCTGTTTCAGAAAGAAGCTAAAAACAGGAAGGCAAGACAAATGCTGCATTCCCTTACAGTACTGCTCAGCTCATTTAGCTGCTCCTCCTCATAAAGCTAAATAAAAGTGATGATTCCATGAACTATAAAATTAATCTTGATACACTTATATAGATTTGTGTTGCAAATAATACAAATTTGAAAATGGTTGAAAACAGATGCATGCACGGCCTATAACTTCTCCTATATYATGTATMCACTTTTCCTACTTTGTGGTGATTCTYCTGATCATAGGTTGCTGGCTTGCTTCTCATTTTCTCTGCCTAAAGTATGTCTTAAAAAGTGAAATGTACATTACCATTATTAAATTTTACATCATGACCTCAGTATTTTCACAAGAAACACAAASTCCCAGTCAAAGGGAATAGGGACAGTGAAATAATGTTTCTCTGGTTGTGAGGGGGATGTTGTAGCTATGCTGGAGAGCTCTGTCAATTCACTTTGTATTCTGAAACCTCAAGAGTATTTCACTGCTTGCCCTCTTTTAACTGCAGACCATTCATCAGTCAAAAATGTATATTTTGGCTTTGGAAAGTAGTCGCAAACCACTAGAGGAAGGCCATGAAATAATATTCAGTATGACCTAATCTGAACTCAGAAGCAAACCCAGTAGATTGTTTCATTAYGTCTCCAGTGTTTTTTCTTTGAATTCAGACAATCTGTATTATAGATCCATGAAGTTGAACAATAAGGACGTAATTTTATATTTTTTAAATAATTTCAGTTTTCAACCTCCTCCATTGATGGTAAAAAAAATAACTATCTAAGCCTTCATAGTGTTTTTGCTCCCAGTAAATATATTAATAGTTGCTTTATCTCATGTACTATGCCACCTCATGTTATTAATTTGATTTCAATTGAGCATTTAGGTGAGCAAGATTTGAGGGATTATTTGRATCCAGTGATTGCATGGGCACAAGTGTTAGTCAGTTACCTGGGCCACAGCTAACTTTCTTACMGGACAAGAAAGTGAAACTCAAATACCCAGGATGCAAATGTTTTTCTCCATAGGTAAGAACAGGCTTCCATGGGCACCAACACAGATCAGCTGTTGGATCAGCCAGCAGCAGAAATTTGACCAATAGAARGATCTACAGAAATCACATTTAGATGTGATGGGAGAAGTAAGAATATAAATTACAGGGTTTATACTGGYTTTACATTTTTATGTGAGCTTTCAGTGGCTGTCAGAGGACAGATGATTCCYGTTCTTGTGTAATGTAAGTGTAGCACTAAGATACAACTGTTGACATAAATCACACAAATATAACCCATTAAGGATTGTAAACAATCTGAACTATCAGAGAAATCTTATATTAGATCAAAGCACATGGAGTTCTGCAGCAGCACATTTTGTACAACCAAATTGGTTATACAAACCCCAACCCAAATTGGTTCTGGTATCTGTGACTCCATGTCTGCAGCATTATACCTCTGATTTTCATGACAAAATTAATAATTTAAGTCTAAGTATAATATGGGTGGGTTTTTAAATTTCACTTCTRGTTTATCACTGTGGAAGTTCTTATCTGAAATCTTAAATAAACATCACTAGGCAGTGAAACATAAGGGTTGGAAAAGTCACTCTAATCTGACATGCTTTTCTTCTCTACATTTAGTCCCCAGATCTAACAGACATGTTGATCCAGCAATGAATATCTGAAGCTGTTTGAACCACCAACTTTTCCGTGGTGTCCCCAACCAAGCACCATATCAGTGTTTGAGCATTGCTTTGAACATCAGCATCTAAAGATTTATCAGTTCATGGTCAATCCTATTAATCATTTGTTTCTGCTCTTCTCCAGCTCCATGCCACCACATGCCACTGTCCCTGACCAATCATCTCCAGTCACAAATTCACACCAACATTGCTGAGGTACATTTCCCTTCACCCTCTGCAATCCAGAGCTCTTGCTCCCCTACAGCACTTTGTAGACACAAAAAGCCAATTTTGAGCATGTAAACACACTGACACATGCTCAGGATAACTTAAAAAAGCACTGTTTATGTTCATAAAACCTCTAAAGAGGGATCAGAACTCAGTCCAACTCAATTCTGATGGTTATTTACAAAAAMCAACAGTGAACCAAAAATAATACCACTTGGCTTTTATAGCTAAGTAACATGGTAAATTACAAAATGCAGAGGTAATTTCAAATGGTCAACTCCAMAGAATTCTACAGGCATTTTCAAGCAAAGAATAATTGACAAATTGTAACAAACATCCACAAAACAAACATCCAGGAGTATCAATCAGCTTYTTTCTTACAAGCAATACCTACTCTAATCACAGTCACATACTAAGCAAAGTAATGATTCAAACACAAAGATTGACTTTTACCATCTGTTYTGAAATTGTTGGACCACCACTTAAAGAAAAAACACAAGCTGGCATTTCATAAGMCTGAGGTCATTAGTGAGAAGAGAAACATGAAGTGTTAGTTTGTTTTCTTGCCAAAGAGAATCTTGTACAAATTTAAGATATGGTAGTGTATGAGTGTTTCACAGATCCTGTTTATTTACTATATTTACTATATATCTCTAATTTCTGTCTGAGATTTATATCATTTTTCAAATGCAGCATTTTGCATTCAAAATGCTAAACAAATGTGACTCCATTTTGCAAGCAGCACAAAAGAGATGGTTCTTACACATTGTCCTTCAAAGTAATTCTGAATGGGACAGGAAAATTAATATGTTAGTCCATTTGAAATTGTGCACATGATCACAGCAATGTGCAAAGCAGCTAAATAGAGCACACAGACGTGCATTGACAGCACTTTCCCCCTAGCTCTGAGGTTGATTAAAACACAAAATGAGCACTGCTTCATCAGTTCCTCCCATCTCTTACACTGCAGTGGTGGAGACCRTCTTAAGAGTAGAAGGACAATCTTAATACTCTTATTGTCAGAGAAGTAGTCAGTGCTGACTAATTTCAACAGAAAAAACACTTCCTACAGAACCCTTCCTCCCACAGCTTGTTAACTACTTGTCAATAATTTCAGTCTGAGTTAAAGGCATAGCTTTTCTGCTGTGTTCATCACACACATCCCAAATAGAGACTAATCCAAAATGGGGCTCAGGATTTCAGATGGGAGTACCACTGGCAACGAGCTGTRAAAACAAACATTTTAAGTTCATTTTACCCTTCCATCCAGAGATTTTTTTCAATTGGATCAATCATTTAATACACTTGTCAAACCAGTTATCACAGTGTTTTTAGCAATATCCAAATGGAAGTATGTTTCTGCCTTTTTAATAATGTAGTGGGTGTAATGAGTCACAATGCAATGAGTGAAAATAAAGAGTACTGACTSATGTCTGTTAGAACATGTCTTGACTAGATGTGTTGTGACGAGGTGATTACACACTAAATAGCATGAGGATATTAGGAAGCAGAAGTGAAGGTCTGCTTGTCCATAAACTTCGACAAAGGTACATCCACACTATCTAGACATGATATTGTTAAGCAGSTCTTTCAACACCTGACCATGTGCCTGACAGTAAAATGTGTCCCAAACATATAAAAATCTCAAATTTTTTCAGCAAAACATGATGCTAAGGTTACATTAAGAGCCCCYGGGCTCTGGCTGTCAGAAGCAGAATTGGCCACATGCATTGGAYACTGATGCAGAAGGAGATCCCAAATGTCATTGCGATCTGTGATCATGTTGGGAATCACTATTCCTACTCACTGCAGCCCCAAACCACAAGCTCATCCCTAACAACACAACTGATTAAGGTGCTGTACTTCGAATAATTTATCAAGGAGCACAACACTGAACACACATAAACCCTGTGGGATTTGGCAGGACTCACCCCTGACCCAAAAGTGCCGAAATATACCATTCTTCATTTTTGGCCAAATTTTTTGTGTTTGTTTGTTTGTTTGCTTGCTTTGTGGACACAGAATAAACCATGCTGTGACCCTGGCAAACATCCTGGAGGAAGCACAACATAGACCAACCAGCCAGCACTGCAGGGAAGCTGAAGGCTCCTACAGTGGCAAGATGAACAAGAGCCAAAAATATGCCCTGGCCCTGCAGAAGGCTGACAGCACTTGGCCTGTAATAATGGATCCATAGCAGAAGAAGTAATTATCACCATTTACTTATCACTTGTTGAACCGTATCTAGAATACTGCTTCAGTTTTGRGACACCCTCCTCCACCCAGTACAACAAAGACATTGACTAACAAATGGGAGCAAATGCATCAGAGGGCCACCATGATGGTTAGAGACTGGAGCACATGCCCTTTGAAGAGATGTTGAGGGATCTGGGCTTGTTCAGCCCAGAGAAGGTGCACTCTAAAGCAAGTGSAATGCTCTACACATCTCTGCCCTACCTCTGTGCATGTAAATCCCAACAGATGAAACAAGTTTACCATTGCTCTGAACAGAGGACAGTAATTTTAGTTATTTTCACTAGTACAATGGGCAAGAAACTAGAAGCGTGAAGTTTTCCATTTGTGCTGCTACAGAGATGAAACCTCACTTGAGTCAAGTACTTGAACAAGAACAGCACAAAGATAAGTGGCCCTGTCCCACTTCTGCATGCAGTTCTCCTCCTGGGCCACCCTTAACAGACAAAAGCATTAACTTTGTGGTACCCTGCCTGGCTGGGTCCTAATTTGGCAGCCCTAAATATTATATTAAAAAAGTAAATTCTGTGATTGATCGTAAGTTTGAAACAAAAAAGAACAGGCCACTTTGCACTACTTAAATTCTGTGGATATAAGTAAATCTAAACATGTTTGACAGGAACAACAGCATATTCCTAACTGCTGTATCCCTCCATCCCTGAACTAACTGCACAATAACCTTTACTAAATTGCAGTCAAATGAGCTGAAGCCTTCCAAGCAGGAAGTACWTTTGCTTTAGATGCAAAATTCTTCCCATCTTTTTAGTTACTGACAACCATGAGCRTGATTTACAGAAAAGACTAACCCCCAGTACAAATTATATCCACCAACACTCTTCCACTTACATGAATGTTTCCTTCATCCAACACATTATCAAAAACATATATATTTATCCTAGTGCCAAGTAAAACATTCATGGGTGCACATTTTTATACTAGCTTCCCAGAAGATGGGAAAATACTTAAAGCCAAATTGTTCATTAAAATGCTTCCTGAAAAAAACATGTATTGCTCAGGCCTGAGCATTCTCAGATGTTTTCTGTCTTAATAGCCATATTTACAACTAAAGTCAACAGTTCCAAAGGATACTTACCAGCTCAGTTCAAATCTATTTATCACATTTCAGTAACTATTCTGGGAACTCAAAACCCCAGACAACTTTGAAAATCTTACCCGCAGAGTACCTTTAGCATTCAATACAGGATTTACAAATACAACCCCGGAGTACTTTCTGTAGGAGACTTCCTTCATTAATCCTTCTGAAGTGTTAAGACCTTTTACCAACATGGCACATTTCATCTACCACCATGCTGCAAAAGAGCTCTGTGAGCAATTACAGTCCCGTCTTCAGGGTGATTCATTTCCTTTAATTAAATGCCCTTGAAATATTACTGCTATGAATGTCATCAGATGCAGCCTTTGTTTGAAAATAAGATCAAGAAGGACAGAACAAAAGCAGCGCTAGCTTTCTCAGCCCCAAGAAACTGAGGAACTAAGTTTGGACTTTTTTTTTTTTATTTTTAGTAATTCTCAGTTCTACAAAACTGACTTTCTGTTACATTTTAATTCCAAAAATTACGTTCTTCAAAAATGCCTTTTAAGGAATTACCACATCTTTATTCAGACGAGAATGACCAAGGAGCAACACAACAAAAGCAAGAACCAATAAACAAAACCCACAATTAACATAGCAATTGAGCTGTTATTTAAATATTTCTTTCAGTGCTATGTCAYCCAGAATTTAGTTTCCATTCTGGGTGCTGCTTGTGTGTTGATTCATCTCATTCTGCCAGTCAAGACAAATCCAAAGTTCAGAGATATATCTTACGACAAGGGGCACAGAAACAGAACAGTGTGTCAGTCTTTAGGAACTTGTACACTGTGGCTGATGTACCATTAAAACTAAGAACACTACACCAGAAACAGATCCTTTTATACTAGGAGTGGTAAACAGGTTCTAATGTGGTTTGCAGAATCAGAGCATTTGCTGTACTTGGCAATTACTTCCAAGAGCTTAATTTGTATTTTAAAATTCACATTTCTTTTTCCACAGGCCAAGAACCAACAGAAGAAAACTAGGGAAAGAAAAAGCAACTCAAACACATAAATATATGCATCAGCTCCTGAGATACAGATCTAACCTCCCAGCAACTACAAAGAGAAGCCAGATCACCCACAATGTCTGAAACTGTGTTAGGACTATAATCTGTGAATTACAGGTCCATAAATTGTAATACTTCTGCAGCATCCTCTTTAGAAGATTCCACAAAAAAAATGTTACAAGCATTTTAGTCCAGATTTCACAGGTTACATTCTAGTCTGTTTTGGATGTAGTTCAGGATAATAATTTTTCTTGGTGAGTTCCAAGAATAACGGTGTTTCTTGCTACTTGGCACCTTTTCAAAGCACAGACAGCAGCTCTCACAGCCAATTTCACTCCCCCCTGAGACACATATTTGCTTAAGTAATCCAGGGTCATTTACAGAATGAGGATACCAACTGCAAAATGGTTCTGTAACATTTAATTCTGCTATTTTCTCAGGTTCTATATACTACGCATACTTCACGTGTCTTGCTAATGAAAATGTAACTACTGCCATGTAACTGAAAGCCATGTGCAATATTCTCAGTTTATTTTAAGGACTCACTGAGTTGGTTTTGGTTCCATCCTGTCTTATATACAGAAGACTAAGGMAGGAATACTTAAAGCACTGTACACAGCCTCAACCATGAAAAATAGATAAAATCTGGACCAACTAAACAGTCTGGAATGGTTAGTATATTTAGGATTGGTCGTAAGGTATGCAAAGAAGCTGTATTAACCTATTSTCATTACAGTTGTGCTATTCCCATTGCCATTCAGATCCCAAAACTGATCTTGCAAACTCTGAATTCCGAAAACAATCAGCCTCACTTTGGCACTCCAAGACTGTTTCCAAATGTTCTGGTTGGGGCTAAGGCTTAAACTAAAGTCATAGAATATCAAGTTGGGAGTTCCAGCATCATCRGATCCAAACTTTCTTGGCAAGAGCAGTATGTCCCAGCACCCTATTCAACTGAACCTTAAAAGTGTCCAGCGCTGGGGAATCCACTATTTCCCTGAGGAGATTATTCCAACGGCTGATTGTTAACAGCTGATAGGATATAAGCTTCCTGCAGATAACCCAGCTGTACTTAAGTGCTTTGRCTTTTTCAATGGGATGATTTTCTGAGTGTCTCCAAGAATAGAAAAATGCATGCCAGGAGCAATCCTGGCCCTGGGCAAGATGATGAAGCTCTTTCCAAACCTATGTTTTCATGGCATGAAAAGCAGAGAGATATAACTGTTCAAAARATCAACAACTCAATTAACATAGATTGTAATTGGAACTTGGAAAAAATAATCTGAACTAGAGAGTTCCACAGCTCACTCCACTGTGCAGAGTGGCAGGTAACAACATCATAACTTTTCCAGATTATATATTAATTAGCTCTCAGAGCACATAGCCTTATAAGCATGGTGTTTCCTATCCAAGTCGATCAAGCATTGCTGAGAAGTAAGACAGCAAGTATCAGTATTTTTTCCCTGCTCAACTGTTCAGCAACAGACTAATCCACAGTGTTTAAAAGCTCTAAGGGGAAGCAGCACTGCTAGCAGCAGTAAGAGAAGAAACATCAAGCCCCTGTTTGGGCCCACTGTAACAGGTTTCAGCATGTTGGTGTTTATTAGCCTTCTCTTCATGCAGGCAACACATTTTTGAAGGCCATAAAGATGTTGTAAAAGACAGTGTCTCCATATGGAATCTGTTTTTGAGTCTTATCCTTGAAACGTACAGTTTGGTATCACCTTCAAGAATAAACAATTTTAAAACAATGTATCTGCAAATATAAAAATTAGCTTAAGCATGCACTTGCCTATAAAATATTGTACATAAATGAGACAAAAAAAAGCCATCAGAAGAGCAAAATGCTGATTTGTCAGCAGTCCGTAGATCTCAGACAGCTCATCTAAATAGTTTAAATGTTTCTTCAATTTTGCACAAAAAATACTTCTTGGGCTTTTTGCCTTTCAGAAAGCTATGTAGCATTTTATAACACCTCTCATAAACAGAAACAGTCCAAAAATATGTCCCCAAAAAACAATAGCTTCCACCTATGAGCACACCTCCTCAGACGAAAGGGRCCACTGTAGTCCATAGGATTACCCATTAGACACACAAGTTGGAAGGAACAGGCTTTTGCAGTTCCCACTACTGAGTCATTAAACTGGTTATGTCAAAAAGTTGGTTTCCATTTTCTTAATTAAAAAGAAAAAAAATTCATGTCTGAGCAAAGGTAGAAACAAAAAATATACTCCCTCAACAAAAACTTTATCCAAAGTATTTCTTCATCATTTTGCATCACCTGTTGCACCATGTTTTACATTCTCACTAATGAGTTGTTTCGATATTTAGAAATTCAAGTATGTAAAGCACTATGAAGCACTAAGTTTTATTTTATAAGGTATCTGTAGTGGGGGGTTACCACGGAGTGGAAAGCACCAAGAAAAGACTCTGTGAACACAGAACAGGTGCAGAGCACCGCCTGCTAAAGCAAGGGCACGAGTGGGAGCTCTCAGCCGACAGCGGCCAGGACACGGAGCCTTCGCTTAGGTAAGGGGCACAGACTATTGGAAAGGAGGATGCGTGCCCCTGCAAAGCTGCTCCCGGTATTTAACCAGCAGCGAACGAGCGCCCGCTCACATCAATCCAACACTGCAGCCTCAAAGCTCCGAGGAGGCGTGTGCGCCCCGCACTGCTACCGGGACAATGTGCCTACAGGGCAACAGCTGAGCGAGGCCCCGCCACCGCCACGTGCTGACACCTCACAGCTGAGCGCAACGGGGAAAAAGCCGGGGGAATGAGGGGAAAAGGGGGGCGGGGCAGGAAGGTGCTATCCGCAGCTCATGGGGACCCAAAGATCGCTATGCTCCAGCCGGGTGAGCCTCACTGCTCCGCCGCCCCTGCCGCCCGACCGGGCAGCGCACAAACCCCGCCGAGGGGCCCCGACAGGCACGGGCGCCTCACAGCCACAGCCCCGCCCCCGGCCCGCCACCGCCGCGCGCTGATTGGCGGCCGGGCCACGCTGTAAGGTGGCTGCCGATTGGCGGCTGGGGAGGCAGCGCTGTAAGGCGGCCGGCGATTGACGGGCGCGCGAGCGCGTGCGGGCACTGCCCGGCTTTGTACACGCGCGGCCCTTTAACAATGGGCGCGGCGCGCGGCGCCGCGTGATGGCGGCGGAGCCCCGGGGCCGCCGCGCCGCGCTCGGGTGTCCCGGGCC